TATGAAACCACCGACTACGATCGTGAGAAGGAGAAAATCCGAGATTTTCTCACAACTTTTTATCAGAACAAAAGCGATGGCACGAAATTCTTTCCATACGATGTCCAAATTGCCCGTCTTGCCGAGCGTCAACAGGTACATTTTTCAAATTTTCACTGCCTTTCTGAGAGATGTCGTTAGTCCCCTTTCCCCATCTTACTTCGCTTTTTCTTCGTTTTCTTTATATTTCCTCTTCAACTTTTAACGTGTTTTTTCACTATAGGTTGTTCAAGTCCTCGTAGTCATTGGGTTTAATTCAAAAAAATCACTTTCTGGGTTTTTTTTGCATTTTTTTTTATTCAAAATCATTTTCTGGAATTTACATCTTTTTTTATAATTTTTTAATATAAAAATATAAAATCCCCAAAAAAAGATGCTGGTGTTTTTTACATTTTATATATTTTTAATCGAAAGTCAAAATTCAAAACCTGCTTCATCGTTCTCATTCTCTCTGTGGCATATATATGCCTAAATTTATTTATAAATACGATAAATAGGAATAACATGCAAATGTATGTATTATTGCAAATATATGCAAATTCATCGAGTGAATTGTCCGATTTTGCTCCGATAAAGTGGGCATGGGACGGAGTTGACAAAAGTCCGTTTCCCCTCATTTTTGAGATACAGAATCTTGCTACAGTTTCCATGAAATTCCGCTGAGGTACACTGAGCTTCGGGCAAAAATCGAGCAAACACATTGTTATAAAAGTGGCCAAATGCTACTTCACCAGAAACGTGGCACCAACGTTCACGCAATATGTCGCAGCCTTGCGTACGAGCACGTGGAAGTTTTGGCGGGAACATCACGAAATTGAGGGCCATTACTTAGTGTGCTGGTTGAAAAAAAAAAAAACGAACAAATAAATTTATTTGAAATCGGTATAATTCAGCAGCTCATAATAAGTGACATGAACAAAGCAATGAAAATTTGTTTGTGCCTATAAAAGTGGCTCGGTATATAGAAACACGTGTTTTTCACTTCGGAAAGTTTGTCGGCTGGCACAGATGGAGAAGATCCGGACCATGATGAACTTGCAGATGGAGAACCAGACCATGAATTAACCGTAGTTCC